GGTGGGTGGGTGGGTGCGTGGGTGGTGGGGCGGGGAGGTACGGGGGTAGACAAGGACTTCAACAAAGCATCGATGGCATTCAAAAGGGATGACACGTGTCAAACCTGCTTATCATGCACGTTGTCGATGCTCAACCACTGCTGCGAAGCCACAAATTCTAATCTTGTAAGAAGCCACCACCTAAACAACCCACCAGCCCTCGTGATCCACCAGCTGACGCAGCAGCTCCAGGGGCGGCTGGGCGCCGTACACCTGCACAGTCGGCAAAGGCAGGGGCAGGCGCGTTGCCGCAGGTGCAGGGTTGCGATGTGACAGCACGGAGGCCCTGTGCTTGCGCTTTGAAATCGCTCAGGCCCTTAAAAACATCAGCAAGCGCCCTGAATTTTGACAAGCTGCTGTCTCAGACATTCGACCACGACCCATAAAATGTTCCACCACAAGACACATGACGGTTCGCAGACGTATTGCTGAGCAAACAGCCACGAGCCACGCCCCCACCTCGAGGGAGGGCATGTTGAGGTCGTCCACAAAGACCACGGCCCTGCTGCCCCACGGCGGCCCGTACACCCCGCGCCGCCGCTTGTCCAGCCGTCCATCGATCACATCCTGGGTCTGAGAGGTACATGTGGCCAAGAATAAAGATTAAGGCGGCGTCAGCGGCTTAATGAATAAGCGGTGTGGGCAAGAACGAACGATGAGGCGGCGTGAGCGCGTGAATAAGGAGGCGATGTGGACGAGCACGACTCGATTAGGCGACGTGGGCGGTGCTCGGTGCTGGGGGCAAGGGCGAGGTACGATGGTGCACGACTAAGGTTGAGGTGCTGTCCAGCGGTCAACGGCCACCTGCTGGGTGGCTGCAATTGAGCAGCAATCATCTGTTGCCAATTGAGAAGTTGAGTTGCCGACAGCCGTGCTTGGCTGTAATCTCATGCCGCCTGCTTCATCGCCCGTGGGCCGGTGCCCGTCCCATCCTGGCATCGCTTTCCCAGCTCTCACCTGGTTGGCGCTGGTCTGGGCGCTGAAGGCCGTCGAGATCATGTGGTAGCCCCCCTGGGCAGCCAGCGCGTCCAGGCCCTGCGGGGGCGACGGGTGAGGGGCCGTGAGCGCGAGCGCGCTTTTGAACGTGCGAAAGTCGGCACAGCTGGCCTGGCCACCGGGCGAGCAGGCAGACGACATGCGTTTGTGCACTGAGGGAGATTTGTTGGGAAGGGAGGGGGCGGGCGAGAGCGGCGGGCGAGGGCTGCCCCAGACATTCAAGTGTCCGTTCTTATGTGCCCTCATCCCCCACATTGTGAGCAAGCAGCGGGCGTGGTCGCAATGAGCCTGACACCGTTTTCAAGATGACAAACACACCTGGCGGATGTAGACAGTCTTGCCAGTGCCAGTGGGCCCAACAAAGAGCACCTGGGGCGGGGAGAGGGATAGGCAGGACCGAGTCGCGTTGCTGGGTCGTGCTGAAGACGTGCGCCGCAGTGGTGTGCAGACGCAGCCGACCATCACCGCAGTGTGGGTGTTGTAGTGCGGGCGGGCAAACAGATGCATTGCGTTGAAACTGGGCAAGCCAGGGAAAAGCCTTTGGCGCCCTGGCCCTGCTTTCTTGAGGTGTGCATGCCGCCTGCACGCCAGCCCGAAGAAACACAAACAGCTCACGTTCTTGCCGTGCCCCGCCAGGAGCCGGAGCAGGAAGCCGTAGCGCGCACTGCGGATGGAGCGGAGCGGCGCGCAGCCTCAGGGTCGAGCGCCGACGCAACGACTGCTGGCCAGGCCATGACCACCGACAATGCCCATGCATCAGCCGTTTGCTGTTGCCAGCACCCGGATGGTCGCCCCGTCACACAACTAAGCAACCTACAGCCTCGCCGCACCCTGCGCACTGAGCAAATTCTGACTCGACACCAAGCTTCAGCCTGCCTCGCACCTGTCTACGGTGGGCACCACGATCTCATTGAAAGGCGTCGACTCATGCGGCACCGGCGCCGGCCCCATGGCCGCCGCCACTGCCGCCAACGCATCGTCCTCACACTCGCCGCCGCCGCCGCCCGCCGCCTCGCCCTCCTCCGCGCCGTCCGCCCCGCCGCGTCCGGGCGCGAGCCACGGGCGCCACATCGCCGACACCGGGTCAAACGCCAGGTCAAACAGGCTGCAGCCCTCAGGGATCTGGATCAAGATCGCGGCGTCACCCGTGGCAGCATCACCGGCGTCACCCGCGCCAGCGTCACCCGGCGGGTACCTGACCTCGACCCCGGGCCCCAGATCAAACCCTCCCTTGGACGGGTCGATCTCTCTGTCCGGCCGCGCGTCGACGCGGCGCGCGATCAGGGCGCGCACGAAGCGGTCAAATTTTGACCGGCCTGGGCCGTCGCAGGCGCCGCCGATGGACCAGAGGAGGGCAAACACAAAGGCGCCGTTCAGCGCCGCCAGCGGGCGCGCCAGCGGCTGCCGCTTCTGCGAGTGGATGACGGTTTGGGCGTTGCTGGGGTTGAGGTCAGTCAATCACAGAAGAAAGCAAGTGACTGCTGAAATGCTTACTGATGGAGGGAAAGGCGCAGTGATTCAAAGAGGTGCCCACACACACACGAGCCTGCCATCCAGACACATAGGCCTGCAGCCTGCGGTTTAGTCCAAAGCAACACCCCACAAAGCACCCCACATGCCAGCACATGAAGACACATGCGGTGATGCGCAGGGACCACCCTGCCCCCTGCTCGCTGCGCACCTTGGCACCCTTTGCGGCCGGCGCCGGCGGCGCGTCCAGGGCCCTGAAGGCGTCCAGCTGGGCGTGCAGGAGCTGCAGCAGCGAAGCCACCAGGCCAATGTCGCTGGTGGGCACCAGCTCGCTGCTCAGGGGTCGGGCGTCGACGCGGCACAACGAGTCAGGTTGCGTTTGGTCAAGATAACGCGCCGTTCGACAAGCAAAATTCCACGTTCTGTCTCCTACACATGGCTCTGCATCCAGTTGACTAGATACAGATTGTGGCATCTGGAGTGATCCCTAGCAGCGCCCTCGAAACTGTGCAACATGTAATCTCCTGACGTGGGGGTTCTCTGCAGATCAAGGGGTGCACAATTGGCGGAATCAGAACCTGGCGGCCCCAGCGGCCCCTTGAGAACAAGCACACCTGCAGTTGCGCCGCAGGAAGGCGATGCAGGGGTCCACGAGCCACTCCGCCAGCGCCCTCACCCGCGCCCGCCCCGCCTCGCCCGCGCTCGCCGGCAGGCAGCCACCGGCCCCCGTGGGCGGCGCCGCCGCCCGCTCCGCCTTGTCGCCTGCCGCGGCGGCAGCAGCTGCCTTGTCGGCGCCGGCGCCGGCGGCGGGCTTGGTGTCAGCGACCGGAGTTGCAGCGGCCGGCGGCGCCAGCCAGCTGGCAAGGATCGGCCGCCAGCCGAGCTGCAGGGTACATTGCGAGCAGAGGCGAATGCAGGGTCAAGTGGCGGAATCGGATACATCAGCACTTGGGTTTTGCCTCGGTGCCTTGCTTCAATAATACCCCAGCCGGATCATCTGCATGTATGGAATCCTGGGCCTAGGGCAGGTTTGACAAGAGGAAAGAAATGCATCCAGGAACTCGTCATCACCCCCCACCTGTGACGGCTCCACGTACACCATGCCGCAGCGGCTGACCGTCGCCGGTGACGCCACCGCCAGGTCAGCAACCTCAAAGATCAGGTTCATCTGGGCGCTCATCTGGATGATCTCGCCTGGGTGTTGTTGTTGTGAGGCACGGGGCAGTGGGTATTTTTGTGGATAAAGAAGGGGTGGGATGAGCACGCAATGGCCAGGAGGTGTACTTTTGGGCGTTGCCGGGATCATGTGTGTGTGCTCACACACGAGCGCATAGGGGAGCGGAGAGGTAATCTGAGCATTCGCAGTGCCGTGACCGCCAAAACGGCTCCCTGGCGCGGGGTCGTGTGACCACACAGCGCAGCCCAACGGCAGGGTCCCTTGGGGATGTCGCCGAGTGGGCGCCACGGTGCGCCCGCCGCCCACCGCTGTTGAGGCACAGTTTCTTGTTATCATCCAGCACCCTGCGTGGGTCGCGGCAGAGTGTGATGAATCGGTTTCCGGGGGGAGTTGCTGACTACAGTGATAGCTGTGTACCGCACGCAGGCTTGGCCAGCATAAGGGAGGGCCCTCTCTCCTCATGTCTGTTGCTGCCCCATCTGCCCTTCCTCAAAGTTGCGGCTTATTCCAGGACACACACGGAGTGCACAAGAGCCCATCCAGGCGCTGCTGAACACATCAGGCATCACCGCACATCCCCCCCCCCCAAATTGGCACCCCCCCTTCTCACGTGTTCATGTTCTCTATCCATACCGCATCCACGGGGCCGTCAAAAAGCAGCCACTGGCGGTCGGGCCGCGTGTCCACCGCCGCGTCCCTGTGGTGTCAAGAGTACGAGGGTGGGTGTAGAGTGCACAGTTCTGAGGTATGGATGTACCAGGGTCTGAAGTCCACGCTGTTGCTTGTGATACGGCAGCGGCCCACCAGCTGCTGAAAACTGGCAACATAGGTGCTGCTAAGCGGCAGACACGAGAGCCATGCCCCATGAGCGCAAAAACCTGCCCACAAAGCAGCCCTGTGCACTGCAGCAAGCACGCTGGTTTTGAGCCCCGCGTCTTTGCGCCAACAAAGACCATCGATCAGTTATGAACATAGAGAGCTGCCGTCTCCTTGTGCATGTCAGACAATGCAACGGAATTCACCACCCACCTGAACGCCTTGGCCAGCACGCCGTCTGTCCACTCGTGGCTGACCGGGTCAAATTGACCGTACAGCTGCCCCAGGGTGACGGCCTTGGGGTTCAGGCAGCGCACCTGGGAGGGGGGGGACGCACGTTTAGACGAGATGGAAGGGTTGGAAACGCACAATCAGAGGACCTGAAGGCAGCTGCTCCTAGTGGGCTATATCCCGAATTCTTGCACCCATCACAAAAACGCACGCACGCACGCACGCACGCACGCACGCGTGTGTGTGCGCGCGCGCGCATACACACACACACACACACACACACACACACACACACACACACACACAGAAGTACGACACATCATCTCTTGTGTATCTACAATGTTGTTCAAGCCGAACACTGCAGGGCCCGCAGCATCCCCCACTGCCCCGCCCACCTGCACCCTGTGCTCCCCCATGAGCCCCTGTCCCTCCAGGTCACCCAGCGCCGCCGCCAGCACTCTGCGCACCGGCGGCCACAGGGTTCAAGGGGTCGCATCAAGGGGTCGCAGTTCAGGTGTAGCTTGCGCTGGGCCAGGCGTTGCCTGCACTTCCAAGGCTGTGGCTGTGAAGGATGGGAGTGCAGCGGGCACTGCAGCGGGTGCGGAATGCCGAGATGCTGCTGTTGGTGCGCAGCGTCTGTGCTGTCGCAAACGCCTGGGGCAGTAAGCACGGCTCACTTGTAGAGGCAGGTCTTGGCACCAAAGCTGAGGCCCACCACCATGAGGCCATGGCGCACCTGATCAGGTGAGGGGGAGGGACGGAGCACGACGGAAAGAGTTCACCGGGTCAGAGAAGCGCAGGTGGCCGGGCCACGAGCCACAGCCGGCATGAGCTGTGCCTTGAGCAAGGCGCATTGGCGATTAGGCATGCATGCGTGTGCAATATGCGTGTGATTGGCTGCATCGCGCACACTTGGAAGGGTTTAGGGTTTAGGGTCTAGCATGGCGCACGCTTCAATCGGATCAGATCACATCATGACAAATTACATGAGACCAGGTCATTTCCGGCCGACGAGCTCACCAGGATCATCTCGTACAGCTGCTTGGCCTTGAGCAGGAAGGGCTCGGGGGCCTGAAATACAAGATTGATTGGAATCAAATGTTTGAGCAGGAAGAACAGCTGGCAATATGGAAAGCCGACCGGAGGCCTGGTTTGCAGGTGTTGCTGCGAGGCAAAGGCTTGTATTTGCGGGCAGGCTGTTTGCTGCACGTGCTCGCCTGCAGGTTGGCGCGGCCGCAGGCGCCGATGAGGGCGGCGTCCAGGGCGCGGTAGTCGGGGGGCGGCAGGTCCACGCCTACTTGCAGCGCCATGGGAGCGAACCGGCCGGTTTCGTTGCAATTTGCGTCATCAGAGGTCATGCGGACACAAAGCAAGGGCGCCACACACACCCAAACCTCATTCCTGATTTGACTCCAGGTAGCTGAAGGCAGGAGGATCCCGCCAAGACCGCAACACACTCGGAGGGGCCGCGGCCGGTCTGCAGCGGTGCCACACCCCGGACACGGCCAGGGCGAGCCCCTAAACCCTAAACACTCCAGGGTCCAGGGTTTGAGCCCTGGCCGTTTCCGGGGGGTCCCTCGGAAACGGCCAGGGCTCAAACCCTGGACCCTGGACCCTCGACCCTCACCTGGGAAGAGGTCCCCCAGTATGCCCTGGAAGAGGGGTATGTCTGGCGCCAGGAACTTGGGGGCGTTGACGTCGCTGATGGAGCGCAGCATGAGCACCTCCTCGGGCACCTTGGATAAAAAGAGTGGTTGCGGAGAGAGCGGGTGCTGAGCTGAAAGCAAAGTTGATCCAGCAGAAAACCTTTCTTTGTAGCCTGGAATTGTGTGTGTATATAAGTGTGAGTGCGTGTGTGTGCGACGAGGTGTGCTGTCAGAATGAGGCATCAGGCAGGCCTCCTCGGGCCTTGCAAAATTGCGAGAGGCGGTGTGACTACGTACACACGGCTTCCACACGCACGGCTTCAGCAGCTGCGAGGAACCGCCCAGGTATGCACAATAAGCACGCACGCACGCATGAAAGCAAGGTCCAGTTGCACACCTCTGGGCTGCGCTGCTTGTTGGCGGCGGCAGCACGCAGCACACTGATTACAGCCCTCATCCTGCAGGGGTTTGCCCAAGCACAGGACGGAGTGCAGTCTCAGACACAAATGACGAATCACCTGCGCACCCTGACAAACTGTATCAGCCAAGCATCCCACGGCTGCTGGGGTGCCACACTCGGCCTCACACCCCTTTTGGCAGTTTATGGTTGGACTTGAGCTGCCTTGCATTGAGCCCGGCCCGTTCCTGGGCCGCGGATGCTGTGTGTCTCACCCGTAATCATAGTGGCTCTGACTTGAAAGCTGCTCGCTGCACAGCCTGTTGGGGCAGGTGCAGGTAAAGGGGGGACCCGCAGAGCGCATATCGCCCAGCAAGGGGGCCGGTGGGGTGGGGGGTTGAGGAACGGGACCACTTGGCACAGCGAGCGGCCATGCAATGATGCCTCGTCGCCACGGCGCCCGGGCGGTCAAAGGGCCACACACAGTGTGCCGTTGTGTTTGTTAACCGCAGCCCGCACCTGTAGGTGGCGACCAGCTTCCGGGCCAGGTCCCGGGCCTTGAGGTAGCCAGAGCTGGGGGTGGGTCAGGGGCAAAGGGGGGGATGAAGCGATACAAAGTGGTGCGAGGGTGCGGATGGAGGGTGCGAGCCGCGAGACGGGGGTGCTGCAACATGATTGCAGGTGATAACAGATGAGTGGCATGTGCTGCCATCAGCCCTCTGTCCTTCAAAAGCAGACAGAATGTGTCCTTCAGAATCAAACTCTGGTCAACGCCGGGTCAGACCTGTACAGCATGATCTCAGCGATGAGGGCGTAGTCAGGCACCATCATGGCCACGCTGCGGAACAGGGCCTGGCGGTTTGGATTGAGGTGATGCAGAGCTGTGAGAGGCGTCCCGCTCAGGTTTTGCTGTACACACAGCGTGGCACTCAAAGAGGAATGCTCCGCCTGCTGTGGTTTGCGGCGCCATTTGCTGCACACATTTTGCCTGACTATGCACGATGCACTCGCGTGAAACAATGGCACCGTTAATTGCTCTGGAAACCTAAAGCAATAAACATGACCCGGTCTCATGCAGCAAAAATCCACGGCACCCACCTTAAGGTTGTCTGGCAGCTCGCTGCGGCCGGCGTATCCAGGGTTCATGGTGATGAACACGCTGAAGGTGGGCCTGGGTGGATGGGGTTGTTTGTGTGGGTAGGTTGGTGGGTAGTGGGGGATGGTGCAGGGCGCGAGGTGACAAGGGCCAGGGTTTCGCCGGGAGCGGAACCGATTGAAAGATGGCAAGCGCCCCGCTCCACTGATGCGCGATTGGCCAAGTGGGACAGTTCCTGCCCAGTGGCACGCCCTTGTTCCAAACAAGACGGCCATGCAAGAAACACATCGACCAAGAAAAGGCAGTTCGCAGTGGAGCCGCTGCGCACCTGATCGACAGGCGGGTGCCCTCAAACTCAAAGCTCTTGACATTCGCGGCCTTGGCGCGCTGCAGGCTCAGGATCTGCTGAGCTATGACGCTCAGCACCTGGTTGGGTTCAGGGTTCAGGGTTGCTGAACCCCTCAGAGCCTCGACAATCTTGCCAGGTGACAAATCTCCAGGCAAACAAAATTTTGCAGGGCAAACAGCGGGTGTGACAGCAGGGCAGGAAGAGCGCCAAGCACATCGCCACCAGCTTTGCAGGTGAAAGGTCGCTGTGATCTGGAGCACGCAACAGGACTCAGAACACCAACAAGTCCCGAGTGATGATCGACATACCCCTCAGCTCTTGTCCCATGGTCCGACCTCAGCCCCCAGCCCTGGGG